GTAGAACACCTGGAGAGAATGAGGTTTGTAACACACCACCAGGATGGGTTCAGGAATGGTAAAGCATGCCTCAGAGGCTTAGTAGAGGTCTATGACCATGTGACAAAAATTAGGCAAGAAAGAGAAGGGTGGGCAGACTGCATTTTCTTAGACTGTCAGAAAGCCTACGACACAGTTCCCCATAAAAGGCTGTTGCAAAAGTTGAAGCAACAGGCAGGAGTAAAAGGGAAGGTGCTCCAGTGGATAAGGGAATATCTAAGCAACAGGAAACACTGAGTAACAGTGAGGGGGAGACATCAAAGTGGCGAGATGTTACCAGCGGAGTCCCAGAGGGCTCTGTATTTGGACCCATACTGTTTTTAATATATGTAAACGATCTTCCGGAGGATATAGACTCGTGCCTCTCAATGTTTGCTGATGATGCAAAAATTACGAGAAGAATGAAGACAGATGAAGATAGATAGAGACTACAGGACGACCTCGACAAACTGGAGGAATAGTCTAGAAAATGGCTATTAAAGTTTAACTCAGGAAAGTGTAAAGTAATGAAATTAGGTGGAGGGAGCAGAAGGCTGAAAACAAGGTAACATTTGGGAGGTGAAATACGGCACGAGAAAAATCTGGGGATTGATATCACACCAAACCTGTCCCCAGAGACCCACATCAAAAGAATATCATCAGCGACATATGCTGGCCAACATAAGAACTACCTTTAGAAACTTGTGTAAGGAATCATTCAGAACTTTGTATACCACATATGTCAGACCAATCCTGGAGTATGCAGCTCCAGTATGTAGTAAATATCTAGTCAAGCATAAGACTAAATTGGTTCGAGTACTAGTCTGGTTTGCCACCAGACTAGTACCCGAACTAGGTATGAGCTACAAGGAGAGACTTCAGGAATTAAACTTCACGTCGCTGGAAGACAGAAGAGTTAGGGGCGACATGATCACCACATACAAGATTATCAAAGGAATTGATAGGGTAGATAAAGACAGGCTATTTAACACAAGGGGCACACATACTAGGGGACAAAGGTGGAAATATAGAAAGATACTAGAAAGAACTTTTTTAGTGTCAGAGTAGTTGACAAATGTAATGCATTAAGAAGTGATGTGGTGGAGGTTGACTCCATACACAGTTTCAAGTGTAGATATGATAGAGCCCAATAGGCTCAGGAACCTACACATCAGATGATTGACACTTGAGAGGCGGGACCAAAGAGCCAGAGCTCAACCCCCACAAGCACAACTAAGTGAGTAGTTGATATCACACCAAACTTGTCTCCAGAAGGCCATATCAAAAGAAAATCATCAACGGCGTATGTAAGGCTGGCTAACATTTGAATTGACTTCAGAAACTTATGAAAGGAATTATGGAATCATTTAGAACCTTCTATATCACATATGTAAGACCAATCCCGGAGTATGCGGCTCCAACATGGAGTTCATACCATGCAAAGCATAGGACGCAACTGGAGAAAGTGGTGAGATACTTGATTGATGAAGATTAAGCCACCTAAGACGTGGCACGGACATAAATAACCCGTAATGCAGAGGTATCCTACTAGACAAGTCCCATAACTAAGAGGCATGAGTTACGAGGAAAGACTACGTGAATTGCACCTCACGATGTTGGCCGACAGGAGAGTTCGGGGAGACATGATCAGCACATATAAAATTCTCAGGGGAATTGACAGGGTAGACAAGTAGGGATTATTTATCACGGTAGATATTCGAACAAGGGGACACAGGTGGAAACTGAGTACCAAATGAGCCACAGACACATTAGAAAGAACTTTTCAGTGTCAGAGTAGTTAATAAATGGAATGCAATTTGAAGTGATGTGGTGGAGGCTGACTCCATACACAGTTCCAAATGTAGATATGATAGTGTTCAAGAAGTTCGGGAACCTGTACACCAGTAGATTGACAGTTGAGAGGCGGGACCTAAGAGCCGAAGCTCAACCCCCGCAAGCACAACTATGTGAGTACACACACACACACACACACACACACACACACACACACACACACACACACACACACACACACACACACACACACACACACACACACACACAGTTATTTGTTTTGGTTAGATTGGTAAGAAAGGTGGGGTCCAAGAGCTTGATTCTGTTGACACAAATAGTAAATACACACGGGGGCGGCTGAGTGGACAGAGCTCGGGGGGGTCATAGTCCTAAGTGCCTAGGTTCGATTCCCGGCCAAGGCAGGGCACACAAATGGGCAGAGTTTCTTTGCGCCTGGTGCCCTTTTCACCTAACAATAAATAGGTACTTGTGAGTTAGACAGCTGTTACTGACTACATCCTGGGGATAAGTGTGTTTTGTGTGTGTGTGCTAGAGAGAAATATATGTCGTAGATATGATAGAAGAAAACTGATTGGGAGTCAGTTCATTAGAGAAGTGACGGTTAGAAAGGCGGGGTCAAGAGCTAACAGCCCAATCCAGCAGGTTCAAATAGTAATTACACTTATGCAAGTAGGTTATCTGCACATCCCTGCAGATAACTCTAAAGAATAATAATAATAAGACGAGTAAAACATTTAATGAAGATTAGGTGTTTAAACAAACACCAGACTGTCTTTCCAAGAGAAAACTGGACAGTTTTCTTCAAGAAGTGTCGGACAAACCGGGCTGTGATGGATATGTGGACCTGCAGGCCGATCCAAGCAACAGCCTGTTGGACCAAGCTCTAACAAGTCAAGCATGGCCCCGAGCCGGGATTGGGGGGTAGAAGAACTCCCAGAACCCGTTCAGGTACAATCCAGGTACCTGCATGGCTTAAGGGAAGGGAAACCATGTCTAACAAACCTCAAGAACTCTATGAATAAGAAACAATAATAAGGCAAGACAAAAGGTTCCGTAGATGTATTTGTGGACTGCCAATTTTTTTCTTATATTCTTGTTTAAATGAGATAATATTAAGGTCAGTTATGAAGTTTCATAGGAAATTATAGCTGAACATTTAATGTAGCAACGCCAAGAAGTGATTGAAACCGCTGTCTAGGAATTCGACAGGAAACAGTAATCATTAATTTTCTTAGGAAACCGAAAAAAGATATCATGCATGAACAACAAAAACTTCAGTGGATAAAAGTAGAAGACATTTTTAAATTTATTTCAATTTGGCTTGTCAATAAATGAAATATAATTCATCCACTTGATAGTATCTTATAATACAAGCAAAAGAGGAAGACCTTTTCCTGGGTCAGTTTTCCAATGTAAAAGCAACAGATTAAGTGTGTAAACAAAAGTATATGGTATATATAATATTTGTAAATAATGCAATGTGTTTATTGGGACATTCTCGTCAAAAAATAAGCAACAATGATTCCAAGATTAGATGCATGAAGGTAGAAGGAATTCTTAAGAAAATTAGCAAACAATGACTGCAGATCATCATCTCTGAACAGATATCTGTGTCCCTACCTTCCGCCACATCACTAACCCTGATAACTGTCCTGGACTATACTGTACTTGGTTTATTGGTCAGTAAGCAGCTGTTGTGACTTTAACCTCTTTGTGACTTTGCTGTTGTGACTTTAACCGTCGTCCCTTCACTAGAAAGTAAAGGGACGACGACGTTTTGGTCCGTCCTGGACCATTCTCCACACACTTTCTAGTGTGTGGTTTGGTCAACATATTTCAGCCATGTTATTGTGACTCCTCGTCTGCATAAGGGTGAATAATCCTCCACATGTAGATAGACCTTAATCCCAAGACCACTAATACACCAGACCATTAGCCCTTGCCAGCAACAGGGGGGGACTCATTCATACTAGCACAAGTAGGTCAGAGTTTCCTACATTGTTTCATAGTGAAAACGTTTCATCGACAAATTTATACTAATATGTACATTCTGTATGTTGTATTTAATCAGCAGTGTCATGTTTATACAGGTGTGATGAACCTCAATAATATTCCAGCCAAGGATCGAGAACACATAACACTCTTGCAGCTTGCAACAGGCTGCACATGGATGTGTTAAGTTATCAAGCATAATTCTATGATCAGTTCACTCAAATGGAGAAGCTGAAATATGAATATATTTACCGGTCATGATTACAGATTCCTCAAGCGAACGAATCATCTAAAAAAAAAAACTGGAACATATTGAAAACTGAAAATTATTAAGGAACAACTAATAAATTAATCTTTGATGAAGATTGAGAATAAACTACTGCAAACAATTGAGTTTTTGGACGTTATGGAATCTTTCTTTAATGAGAATCATAAAAGATGTCTTTTAATAAGATCCATTAAATTTAATTTGGTTTCGTGTTTGTCTTAAGAGCAATCATCCTCTGGAGGGTCACTAGAGTAGCCACAATAGATACTCTTGGTGCATACATACCTGTTTTGCTCAGTATATTTGATAAATTATGATTATTTGTAGCTGACACTACTGAGTTATTAGTTATCAAATGTTAAGGTGAATATTTAACTTATAGCGTCTTGATTTATTAAAAATTAAGTATTTAATATAAAAACTTAATTTATGTAAGTAATATATATAAACACTCAGTAATTTATGTAACACATTACTGAGATTTATTGATGAAGTGAAGTTTGGAAGCTCTTTTGAGCCCATTAAATCTTCAAGCGCTCGACCTTATGAGTTCAATTTACCTTCATAATTTAGGTTAACTAACAAATGACTTAATAACTAAGGTCAACGGACATAGAGGGTTTAGGTTAACCAACAGTGACATTATGATGAGACTTTGTCCTCTACGTTAATTTACACTAATATTTAGGTTAAGTATTGGTGGTCAATGGGTTAATTAGTAAAGGGCTGGTCTAGTTAATGCGTCAAATGATACTGGCTCATTCTGTTATAAACAACTCAGGCTCCATAATAAAACAAGTTTTTCTAGATTAATTGATACCTGGCTCTATTATCTGAATTACCTTACTTAAGCCTTTGTTTCATATGGCAGTATTTCTGAACTAATTGTTGTTGCTTTATCTCTCAGGTTGTTGAAGGGTCAGATCCAATTATGGAAACACAGTCAGTGTTAAACATGCCCTCAAATTTGACCGATGGACCTCTGTGGCGCGTTCGAATTCTGACATCTACCTATGAAGCCCTTCCTGTTCGGCCAGAGATAAACAAAAAATTTCCTTATCGGAACACAGTGATACTTGAGTTCCAACATTCAGCATTTGATGGTGTTGATATCGTGATGATTGTCGTGTGGTTCCATAAGATCATTGATGACATGCTCAGCGGAAAGCCCATTGATGATTCACAATTTGGTCAACTTGCAGACCACAGTCAGACATCAGAAATTATTCAACAAATAAAATCGGCTCTTGAAAATGATCCTGAGCGGTTGAGTTCATTACTTAAACTTAAAAAAGAAGAGCCGGCCACTTCTGTCCTCATTGAAGCTTTCGGAGCACCAGAACCATCTCAGGCAGAGACAATATACTTGGAAAATGTTTTTCTGAATATTTCAGACGTTGATAAGTTTCATGCCAAGTGTCAGTCTGAAAATATATCGTTCAATGCTGGATTTACAAGTATAATTAACACGGCTCTTGTTAAGGTAGTAAGGGAGGCCGGCTTGACACGAGACGCCTACAATATTAGGAGTCGTGTTCCCATTGATATGCGTCGTTACATGAAAGGTTACTCCAAGACCTTCCCTATGGGCTTCCATAATGCTCCAATGTATCAGAACATTTCAACACCTTACAATGTTAAAGATCATTTCTGGATGTATGCAAAGCAGTATGATGTTCAGTTTCAAAATAACTTGAAGAACAAATTATTTATTGAAGGTATGGTCATTGATAGAATGCTTCGGCCAGCTGATTTTTCTCCTGAGAAATTCTTTGCAAAACCACAACCTATTACGATTGACTATTTGTTTGCAAATATGTTTACACCTCTTTTTCGAACATACGGAGCAGGTAAACATGTTCAGCTAACAGATATGAGAAATATTGCAAATATTCAGGCTCTTGATGTTGCATTCATGTGCATGTTACTCAAAATACGTGAAGAGGTCCAATTTGATGTCCGCTACTCGTCACGGGGATTAACAAAAAATACAGCACAAAATATTATTGACAAAACTGTTTCAGTCTTCAGTGAAATTTGTAAAAATATATAATGTCAGATGAAGGAATACCTTAATTTGCAAGAAATCATAGATGTCATGAGTGGGTCACTTTGAGGCTCAAATAGCCAAATTATATTAAAAAAATTCGATATATATGTACGTAGTTATGTGTAATATAAAAATGGCTCCAGCAAGTCAATACTAGACAGTAAGAGCTTATAAGCTTAAAGTGTCATTATCCAGCCCATCCTCCTGTTTTGGGAGTACTTATAGTAACAAAGAGGATCACAGTATACCGACGTACAACGAAATCAGAAAGTAGAAATCTGAACTATGGAGTTGGACAAACCGCAAAACTATTTTTTACTTGTGTTGTTTTGACACACAGCCTCATGTTGATGATTCTTGTGCATCTGGGAGCTCCAAGAATTATCCTCATAGCTTCATTTGTAATTTTCTCTAAAGCTTTATGTATTCCATAATAGAATGAGCCTTGACCAAGCTATTAAGATACAGCAAGGAAGGAGATGAGGTTGTAAACTGGGTAAAATGATCATTAGGATTTCTTCTTTTTTACACAATATACGTTTATTGCAGAATTGAGATCTGTAAACAAAAAAATGGGGGGGGGGGATGTAACTTGTGCATTGGATTTTGTTTCCTGTAGGCTCTCTCAGTATTGTGAGTTTCATTATAGTCAACGGTTCATATGAAAACTGTCATTTATCTTAACGGTTTTATTTATGATTCTACAATCAATTTTTGCACCCTTATTGCCGGAATAATCCCTTTCTCGTATTAGAAATGTAATAAGATTGATTCCAATTATGATGCTGAAACCATATGTTAAAGAATTCAGGAGCTCGATACTACCTTCCATGTAAGGGTAATGAAAGATCCAACATCACCCTTAATACTTGTCAAGTAGTAAGCAGCAGTCAGAGTGCTGCTTAAACACAGAGTGTTTACTAGTGCTGCTTGTTGGGCGACAAGTGTTGCCAACGCACCAGCGGGCAACCTATATACAAGCTGGTTGAGTGAAAGTGTTGCCAATCTCATTAAACTGAATATTCCTATTGTATGCAACGTACTAGTCAATAATATTCCACTATATCTGTACCCTGAAATACACGCCCATCAGTAAAAATTATAAGGACAAACCCAGCACTCCCGAATGCCATAACACTTGAAACCATTGATTCCTTATAAATAACTTACGGCCTCACGAGCACTATGCTTACCCTGATGTCTCTCTTCTTCTTGATGGAAGGTGCAGTTTCCATGAAAGGTTTACTTTCTACAATGACTGTACGTGTACAAATGTTGGGAGACGCACTAATGTTGAGAGTGACAAGGTTTCAAGTGTTTGTTGTGTTGTGGTGTAGATAGAGGAGCGGCGAGTAAAGAGAGGCGCGCGTTAGAGGGAGACTTGTCACGCTGAAGGGCGGGGTGTTGTGTTTATGGCGTCACCTGATCCTTGGTGCTGCGACGAGGCAGTTGTTTTCTGTGTTTGGCTGTTGGTGGCGCCAGGTATAAATGTGACACAGGTCAAATATGGCCTAATTTGTTGATCGATTGGAGATATTTAGCCAGTGCTTTGACTATTTGATATTTTTCATGTAACGAGAGGTCTCCTCCTCCTAATATGTGCTCAATGGTAAAAGGTTTTTTAAGTGTGATAAGTATTTGTCTGAAGTTTAATCTGACACTATGATGTCGGCAACAGTGAAGGAGGTAGTGTTAGATTGTTTCTGACACATGCCAGTGGATGTTCGTTGATGACTGTTCTGTTTTTAGAGTTGTGTGCTTCCAGTTTGGTGTGTGTCCCAGCCTTAATCTGGTCATCGTTACATCAATTTATCTGCTTTTAATATCATAAATGTTTCCAAGTTTACTATTTATTTTTATGGACCCATAGTACATGGATGAGAATGACGTTTTCCATTTCATTACAAAATCTTGGGTGATGGTATCTTCGAAGGCTCCTTACCGTGTAACGCGAAGAATTGGATGACGGGTAATTTAAGGCGTGTTGTGCATCGCTTTGGCCAGTTGATCTACTAGTTCATAGTGGTGTATACCACAATGCGCTGGGACCCATTGGATAGAAATATCATAACCGTTCAATCGATGTTCATAAAGAAGTTGAAAGCATGGGTAAACAAACTCTTTGCATGTTGTTAAAGAGTACGTAATTGCTTGAATCGCACTCTTGGAGTCACTGCAGATTGTATATATCCGAACTGGTAATGTTTGGATTATTTGGAGGGCTTGGTATAAGGCATATAATTCAGCTGTGAAAATAGATTGTAGGTTTGGTAACCGCCATCCCTGCTTGAGATAGTATTGTGGGATCCATACAGCGCTAGTGACCGAGGGTACGTTGTTCATGAGGATGCGAGATCCAGCTGTGTAAATCACTGTGGTATTTGGGTAGCAATTTTTCATTGTTGAGGCAAAGACTTAAACTATGGCTGAGTTTGGTGCAGATTTTGGAATGTTGTCTTCCAGTTGTATTGATGTTTTAGGGGTTGCATAAACCCAAGGTGGAATACGGGGAACAGTAAGCTGGGTTTCAGAGTTTTGGAGTAAAGTGAGGTTTATACTGAGGTTATTTATGGCCCGTGTAAGAAAAGGTTGCGAGTGATTGGTGGGGACGCTGGGGTTATGTGGGCTGACTGTTGGGCTCATTTTTATCTGTAATGGTGTGTCGGATGAGCAGTGGTACAGAGTGACAGATTATTGGCACACATTACGTCTCTCTAGTGGCTAAGCTTGTGAGACCTGTTTTCCCCTGAAGGCCGCAAAATTAGCTGCACTACAACTTGCCACTAACTCACTGAAGAACAGTGGAGGAGTAATTTTCTGTGATTCAAAGTCAGCTTTTCCGGCCCCTGAAAGCCGAAAATGTAAAACAAATGCTAAAAAGTTGTAACATCCATTATAAACAACATTTTTAATGCTCAGTACAAGAGTTTCAGAGTGTCCTTTGTACGGATACCATCTCACATAGGTGTTGACCAGCATGATGAAACACACACGGCAGCTAAAACTGCATGTGATAAGCCTGAAATTGAGTGGGAAATGTGCATTCAAATCTCTGCTGTAAAAGCCATAATATTTCAGGAAATTAGGGAAAACAAAAGAGCAGTTATTGACACTCAAAGGCCAGAAAGCACGAGTATAAAGAGCTATGACATGTTTAGAACCGAGAATTATATGTACGAACAGCATAAAACATCCTCTAGAGAGTGTGATATTGTAATTAGCAGAATTAGGCTGGGATTTCGACATATATGGCAGGTGGCTGCAGATAATGAATACCCCCAATGGTAAACATTCCAATTGTAAGCTATGCGAACATGAGTTAGGACATACTCTCTAACACTAACTGTGATTGCTCTTGTTATCAGTGATTTCAAACCAAATGGTATGAGGTACTTTGAGCTCTGTAATTACTTCATACACTCAGGAATATTGGAAGCTATTCTTGAGCTGTACCCAGATTTTGATAGTGGAGGCTAATAGGCCTTACATTTTATGTTCTCTCCTGATTCATGTATGACTAACCATCCTGTGAGATGGGGATATTTTCTGAACTTATAGCTAGTTTTTTATTGACACTGTGTAATCTTTCATATAGGATAGAGTAACAGCACACTGATGTGCTGCTTCCTAAGCTTGTTGATAATAAAAACAAAATAACTCAAAACATTTGAGAATAGTTTGTTCGCATTTTATGTTATTTCATGTGTCCATGTATGACTAACCATCCTGAGAGATGGGGTATTAGATGAACTTACAACTAATGTTTGATCTATACTATATAATCTTTCATATTGAATAGGGTAGCAGCATATTGTTGTGTATACCTAAGTATGTTGATCATTTTTTTTACTATATTCAGTTTCTTTTTTTATTATGCACCTCATACCCATCCCGTGGGCGGTGGCGGAAAGGGTTATAGAAGTACATAATCGGTTCAGGAACTGAACCCAATAGTTCATTTAGCTAAGCAAGTGACAATCGTGTGAAGCTAGTTACACAATTGTTAATACTTACATAAACATGTGTGTATATATATATATATATATATATATATATATATATATATATATATATATATATATATATATATATATATATATATATATATATTTATATATGAAGATATATATTAGGGGGTACCACCTCTGGTGCAATTGTAGAAACCCACATCCTCGAAGAAGAAAATAAAGAGTATTTTGAGAAGACCTTGTGGATTCTCACTGAACACTTTAATCTTTTACTCTACTACCACCCATATTATTTATTTAGTTTATTTTAGTTTATTTAATTTTATTTCAATGCTACAGTTTACAGAGAACACACACAGATATATAACAATATAACAATCAGTGTTTGAAGACCTCGTCCACCTCCTCGGAGGTTGGGTGCGCAGTCAGTATACAGCACGCATTTTCCCTTTGAACTGGGACACTGAGGCGATGGAACAGGAAACTGGCCGCTCTTGAGCGGCCAGTTTCGTTGCAACATATCACCTCACCCAAACTGTTGGAACATATCACCTCACCCAAACTGTTGGAACATATCACCTCACCCAAACTGTTGCAACATATCACCTCACCCAAACTGTTGGAACATATCACCTCACCCAAACTGTTGGAACATATCACCTTACCCAAACTGTTGCAACATATCACCTCACCCAAACTGTTGCAACATATCACCTCACCCAAACTGTTGCAACATATCACCTCACCCAAATGCGAGTATATAAGACAAGCTGTTCAATGTTAGCATTAAGTAAAACTCTGTTTAGTGTTTTCAGGTTACAGTTGTGCGTGTGTAAACTAAAGTCTTTGATAATGTAATAAGTTATTTCGAAACGCGTTCAAGCGTTGCGTCAGACTAAGAATAAAAATTAATTTTGGAGAATTGATTTTTCAATTACCATCGACAGTAAAAAGAAACATAAGAAATATTGAGAAAATTCGTGTTAGAACTGTTAATCTTACTTTTTCGGTCATATATAACAACATATATATATGTATATATATATATATATATATATATATATATATATATATATATATATATATATATATATATATATATATATATATATATATATATATATATATATATATATATATATATATATATATGTTGTTAGAGATAGGTTAGGTTAGGTAGGGTTGGTTAGGTTCGGTCATATATCTACGTTAATTTTAACTGGAATAAAAAAAAGTTGACCTCATACATACTGAAATAGGTAGCTTTATCATTTCATAAGAAAAAAAATTAGAGAAATTATATTAATTCAGGAAAACTTGGCTTATTAGGCAAATTGGGCCTTGCATAGTAGGCCGAGAAGTGCATTCTGGCTACTAGGTACGACATATATATATATATATATATATATATATATATATATATATATATATATATATATATATATATATATATACATCAGTGGAAGACATCATAAGAAGGAAAGTGAAAAGCCATGCAACCTCTGAAGAGACAACTAACACAACACCTATACCCCCTATTAGACTATTTTACAGGAACTTCTTTTCCACAGCTCATAAAACGGAGGAAAGGGTCCTGAAAGATATTGTTAATAGAAACGTTATCCCTACAGACAAAAATCAGAGGATACAACTGACGATTTACTATAAAACCAGAAAAACGGCCAGCCTACTCATGAGAAACTCTCCAGACACAAAACAGAACTCTTTAAAAGAGACTAACGTCGTCTATGCCTTCAAATGCCCTCTTGGGGACTGTAAGCTCCAAAAAACCCAGTATATAGGCAAGACAACAACATCTCTTTCTAGGCGTTTAACGATGCATAAGCAACAGGGCTCCATTAAGGAACATATAATCTCTTCCCACAACCAAACCATCGCCAGAGAAATCCTAGTAAATAACACAGAAATCATCGATAGATAAAGCGATAGCAGGCGGCATGACGTTTGCGAGGCACTACACATCAAGAAGTCAACACCAGCAATCAACAGCCAATTATTGCACAACTATATTCTACCCACCTCAAGACTCCGCTCCAATATAGAAGCATCAAGAAATATGGACCAATAGGCTTTCTACAAACACTTCTATTCAATATCCATTGTTTCGTGTTCTGTCTTGTGTTGATGAAATTAATACCCTATTAATACCACTTCTTGTTCTGTCTTGTGTTGATGAAATTAATACCCTATTAATGCCACATCTTGTTCTGTCTTGTGTTAATGCCACATCACCCCTTCCAGCTCACTCAAATGTAGATATAAAATCGGAGATGCGTAAGTTCTATTCAGTTGTGTATTTGTGAACTAAAGTCTTTGAAAATGTAATAAGTTTTACGAAACGCGCTCGTGTCGCGTCAGACTAGAAATAAAAATGAATTTTGGAGAAATGATTTTTGATTTACCTCCAACAGTGAAAAGAATGTACGAAAGATTGAGAAAATTCGTGTTAGAATTATTAATCTTACTTTTTCGGTCATATTTAATAATATATGTCTACAGGAAAGACTGCTACCAAAATATACTAATATGTATATATATATATATATATATATATATATATATATATATATATATATATATATATATATATATATATATATATATATATATATATATATATTATTAAATATGACCGAAAGAGTAAGATTAATAATTCTAACACGAATTTTCTCAATCTGTCGTACATTTCTTTTCACTGTTGGAGGTAATTCAAAAATCAATTCTCCAAAATTCATTTTTATTTCTAGTCTCACGCGACACGAGCGCGTTTCGTAAAACTTATTACATTTTCAAAGACTTTAAACAAAAATCAGAGGATACAACTGACGATTTACTATAAAACCAGAAAAAAGGCCAGCCTACTCATGAGAAACTCTCCAGACACAAAGCAGAACGCTTTAAAAGAGACCAACGTCGTCTATGCCTTCAAATGCCCACTTGGGGACTGTAAGCTCCAAAAAAACCAGTATATAGGCAAGACAACAGCATCTCTTTCTAGGCGTTTAACGATGCATAAACAACAGGGCTCCATTAAGGAACATATAATCTCTTCCCACAACCAAACCATCGCCAGAGAAATCCTAGTAAACAACACAGAAATCATCGATAGATACAGCGATAGCAGGCGGCTTGACGTTTGCGAGGCACTACACATTAAGAAGTCAACACCAGCAATCAACAGCCAATTAATGCACAATATATTCTACCCACCTCAAGACTCCGCTCCAATATAGAAGCATCAAGAAATATGGACCAATAGGCTTTCTACAATCACTTCCATTTAAATACCCATTGTTTCGTGTTCTGTCTTGTGTTGATGAAATTAATACCCTATTAATGCTTCCTCACCCCGGCCCCGCCCCTTCCTCACCCCGGCCACGCCCCGACCTAGCTCACCCCGGCCCCGCCCCTTCCTCACCCCGGCCCCGCCCCGACCTAGCTCACCCCGGCCCCGCCCCGACCTAGTTCACCCCGGCCCCGCCCCGACCTAGCTCACCCCCGCCCCTTCCTCACCCCAGCCCCGACCCGCCCAGCCCCTTCCTCACCCCGGCCCCGCCCGACCTAGCTCACCCGGCCCCGCCTCTTCCTCACCCCGGCGCCGCCCCGCCCCGCCCCGCCCCTTCCTCACCCCGGCCCCGTCCCGACCTAGTTCACCCCGGCCCCGTCCCGACCTAGTTCACCCCGGCCCCGTCCCGACCTAGTTCACCCCGGCCCCGCCCCTTCCTCACCGCGGCCCCGCCCCGACCTAGCTCACCCCCGCCCCGCCCCGCCTCTTCCTCACCCCGGCCCCGCCCCGACCTAGCTCACCCCCGCCCCGCCCCGACCTCACCCCGGCCCAGCCTCTTCCTCGCCCCGGCCCCGCCCCTTCCTCACCCCGGCCCAGCCCCTTCCTCACCCCGGCCCCGCCCCGCATCTTCCTCATCCCGGCCCCGCCTCGACCTCACCCCGCCCCGCCCCTTCCACACTCCCGCCCGCCCATTCCTCACCCCGGCCCCGCCCCGACCTCCTCCCGGCCCCGTCCCTTCCTCACCCCGGCCCCGCCCCGACCTCACCCCGGCCCCGCCCCGACCTAGCTCACCCCAGCCCTGCCCCGACCTA